CCATTCTTTAGGTTGTCTGTTTACTCTGTTTATTATTTGTTTTGCCATGCAGGAGCTTTTTAGTTTAATTGAGTCCCATTTTTCTATTTTTGTTTTTGTTTTTTGTGCTTTTGATGTTTTAGTCATAAATCATTTGGCTACGCCAATGTCCAGAAAACTTCCTAGGTTTTCTTCTAGGATTTTTATAGTTTTAGGTCTTACACTTACGTCTTTAATCAATCTTGAGTTACTTTTTGTATACAGTGAAAGATATGGGTCTAGTTTCATTCTTCTGCATGTGGCTACCCAATTTTCCCAGCACCCTTTATTGAATAGGGTGTCCTTTTCCCCATTGTGTATTTTTGTGAGCTTTGCTGAAAATCAGTTGGTTGTAGGTATGTGGCTTTATTTCTGGGTGCTCTCTTCTGTTACATTGAGCTGTGTGGCTATTTTTATACCAGTACCATCCTGTTTTAGTTACTATACCCTTGTCATATAATTTGAGGTCAGGTAACACGATATCTCCAACTTTGTTCTTTTTGCTTAGGACTGCTTTGGCTATTCGGTCTCTTTTTTGGTTCCATATGAATTTTATTTTATTTTATTTTGAAACGGAGTTTTGCTCTGTCTCCCAGGCTGGAGTGCAGTTGCATGATCTCGGCTTACTGCAACCTTTGCCTCCTGGGTTCAAGTGATCCTCGTGCCTCAGCCTCCCAAGTAGCTGGGACTACAGGCATATGTCACTATACCCGGCTAATTTTTGTATTGTTAGTAAAGACGGGATTTCACCATGTTGGCCACGCTGGTCTCAAACTCCTGACCTCAAGTGTTCCACCTGCCTCAGCCTACCAAAGTGCTAGGATTACAGGCATGAACTATGGCACCTGGCCTCATATGAATTTTAAAATTGTTTTTTCTTCTGAAAAATGACATTGGCAATTTGATAGGAAGTGCATTGAATCTGTAGATTGCTTTGGGCAATATCATCATTTATGATATTGATTCTTCCAATCCACAAGTATGTGATGTTTTTCCATTTGTTTGTGTCATCTGTGATTTCTTTCATTAGTATTTTGTTGTACTCCTTGTAGAGATCTTCACTTCTTTGGTTAAATGTATTACCAGGGGTGTGTGTGTGTGTGTGTGTTTTGTAGCTATTATAAATGGGATTGAGGTTTTGATTTGGTTTGCAACTTGTTATTGGTATATAGGAATGCTACTGATCTTTCTGATCTTTGTATGTTGTTTTTGCATCCTGA